AACCCATTTTATCCCAATTTTTTTCATTTAAAACCCATTTTTACCCCATTTAAAACTCATTTTAACCCATTTTATCCCAATTTTTTCCATTTAAAACCCATTTTACCCCATTTTAAACTCATTTTAACCCATTTTTCAACCATTTTATCCCAATTTTTGCCATTTTAAACTCATTTTAACCCATTTTCCACCCATTTTATCCCATTTTTTGAAATTCTAAACCCATTCTAACCCACTTTATCCCAATTTTTTTCACTTAAAACCCATTTTTACCCCATTTTAAACTCATTTTAACCCATTTTATCCCAATTTTTTTCATTTAAAACCCATTTTAAACTCATTTTAAACTCATTTTCTCCCGTTTTTGGTCACATTTTGGTCACTTTAATGACAGAAATTCACGTTTTTCTGCACACCACGACGACACTGAGGGTTTGGGGGGGATTTTTGGGGTGATTTTGGGGTGATTTTGGGGGATTTTGGGTCACTCCAGGGACTGCAGCATCAGGAGCTGCTTCAGCACCTTGGTCTGGCTCGTCTCACGGATTTCACCTGCCAGGAACATCTCGTCCACCACGGTGTACACCTGGGGAAGGGAGGAAAAAATGTAAAATTGAATTAAAAAATAGAAAATCGGCACAAAAAAACCGAAATCAGCACAAAAAACCGAAAATCAGCACAAAAAAACCCGAAATCAGCACAAAAAACCACAAAAATCAGCCAAAAAAAAAACCCAAAACCCAAAAATCAGCCCTAAAAAAACTCTAAAATCAGCCAAAAAAACCCCCAAAATCTGCCCTAAAAAAATCCCAAAATCAGCCCAAAAAAATTCCCAAATCCCAAAATCAGCCATAAAAAAATCCCAAAATCAGCCCTAAAAAAACTCTAAAATCAGCCCCCCAAAAGCCCAAAATCCGCCCTAAAAAAACCCCAAAATCAGCCCTAAAAACCTCAAATCAGCCCTAAAAAAATCCCAAAATCAGCCCTAAAAAACCCCAAAATCAGCAAAAAAAAATCCCAAAATCAGCCAAAAAAACCCCAAAATCAGCCCTAAAAAATCCCCAAAATCAGCCCTAAAAAACCCCAAAATCAGCCCTAAAAAAATCCAAAATCAGCCCTAAAAAATCACAAAAATCAGCACCAAAAAATCCCAAAATCAGCCCTAAAAAACCCCAAAAATCGGCCATAAAAA